ATATATATATATATTATAACATAATATAAACAATTTCCCTGATAATAACAGTGCTCAAATGTTCCTTTTATTTCAGTTGTATAAAAAAGGTGTCTTGTGGGATTCGGCCTGCAACCTGTCAAGACGAGAGTATCATACCCATTAGAACACAGAGATCTAATAGGTATCGTGCAGTTCTAATCCCAGGCACTTTCTCTTATACGGCTGAAATGCTCACACATAACCGTGTGAGCGTTTCACTAAGAATATATTTCATTAGAACACTGAGGCTGAAATTGTTTTATAAATAAGAACAAAATAAGAACAAATTGACACCAAGACTTTTTCTTACAACTGAAAACAACTCCACTCCCAAAGAGCTTTCGCTGATAAAAGCATCATATTATTTCATTATTTAAGATGGCCCCTGGATATCAGCCGATCTAGGACACACTGGAAGTTCCACCCTCTATGGTTTATCTTCTGAGAAATCACAATAATTCGATTTATAATTCTCTTTATGATTGTTTTAGGGCCCCGGGTATTCAACTCCCGGCACCCCATAGATTTTGATCCGGCGGCGCACCATTGCTAAAAAATCATTTTCCGGCCGATTTCATGTCTGTACTAACACTATAGTGGCGTAGAGTATTGGGGAGGGGGCGCCATTTCCGGGAATCTGTAGAGATGTCTATTTTTAAAGTTTGCCCACCTCAGCCCCAGCCATGGTCCGGGGCTGATTTAAATGCGGGAAATTTCTGGCGCTGGCATTTTTTGTCAAACAACTAGACACGAGTGGATTTGTTTGTGCTCGGAAAATGTCTGTTGGTAGGCCTACGGTAGGAGAGGCTCAGGTGAAAGTTTTTTTTTTTTTAAATCCACCTTCTTTCCCAAGCTAGTGCATTCCATCAATTTTAATTTACTAAACAAGGCCGCATGTTGAAAAGCCAAGGCTAATAATAGGCCTAAAAGACTTCAAAGTCCTATAAAATAGAATGACTGGGGCTAACGTTGAAAAAAAAAAATTAGGCCGGCTACGTCGGCCCACCGCTGGTCTCAACAGGTTGCAGTGGCGGTCAAGGTTACTAAATATTTTAGAAAAATTATAGTTTTCAACAAATTTTTTACCGCAGTACGAATTAAAACGCAATAACTGTAACATTTCGCAATAATTAGGAACAGCTAGTGAATTTTAAAAATGGACATTTTGAAATTTGAGGGTCCAGGGGCAGGGGCCTGGAGGGGTTTGCGGGAACCCCCCCCCCCCGGAAGCTCCGATTAATTAGCAAGTTTGAGGACCTTATATGATTTATTCCCCTACCACCACCCCCACCCCCAACCCTCGGACAGGCTGGACCCCACTATCGTCCGAAGCCACAACGAAGTCGTCGGATGAAAATGAAAAATTGAATTTTGAATTTTAACCATATAACCATAGCTGTATATATTTGTTTGTAGTATTTAACGTTTAGCGACGTTAACCCCTATTGGAACAACATAATTGAAACAGCACCGAGATGAATGGCATGTGTCAAGTAAAAATAGTTTAACTTTTGGACAAATTGGCACATTGCCGAGAGAAGAATTGCGTTAAAGTGGTCAGCCTGTAGTACAGACGTGGACGTGAATATTTGTTAGAACCAGTGGCGTAGGTAGAGTTTTTGGCGCCCGGGGCAAGAGTAAAAAATTGCGCCCCCGTCCTAATTATAATTACAATATTTTGAAATTAATTGATATTAGTTGTATAGACTTTAAGCATATGCGTACTGTAGTCCCATCGGGACGTCCATATAATGCACTGTCTAAATAACATTATTAAACCCGAGTAACTATTATTATTCTAGCTCTCGTATGTTCTTTCTTACCAGGGAGGGGTCCAGGATTTACCCTAGGGGGTCCAATGTTTGGGGGGATGCCTTGACGATGACGAGGGGGAAGATTTCTTTGAAGAGAGCAAAGTGGGCATGATCGAGCGTCGCTTAAAATCTTCCAAAAGTAGCCTGGAGTGGGGGGGGGGGAAGCCCCCGAATATTTTTGACAATTTATGGGTTTCAAAGGCTTATTTAATCGATTTTAGAGTCTACTAATATTTACAAAATAAATAAAAAAAAATTTCTCCCCAACGAATTATGGTTTTCCTCCCCGAAGGGGGCCCTGGCGTCAACCCCTGTTTCTTACTATTAAAACTGCATTACAATGTCCGGAACTTTGTATACAACTTTACCATTATCCTAATTTGTAAGGCTTTTGTATTTATCGCATACATCTCAGTATTCTTATTCTCAAAATTTATCTTATAGAGTCTTGTAAATTGCTGAATTTTTTAACATTGTTTAAACTTGCAACTGAATTTTGTGTGCTTTTGTATCAGCAAATTAGTTAATAACATGATCAAAGTAAGCAATGTTGTCTGCTTTCATCACACTCAATACTAAGTAGTGCCTTTTCCCATCGTGGCTCTGAGATATGGCAGGATGAGCTTTAGTCATGTAGTCATAGGATAAAAAACAAGAGAAAACCGTCGAAATGGACTGAAAAGAAATCACAATCTATTATTTGCCAATAAAAACAACTATATACTGGTTCTTATTAAAATATTCATGCCTGACGAAATACATCAATTTCGTCGTGTTTTTCTAAAATGTGCTTATTTTTTTACTCTCATTCTCCCATTTCAGCTTCCCCCTCACATCCATCCATGAGCATCACCCTCTAGCTACGCCGCTGGTTAGAACACAATTGTGATTGGCTGTCAATTTGATATTGTCTGTGGCAAACCAATCAATGACGTAGTCAGTAACTGGGACGCAGTCATTGCTGAAGTAGACAAAACACGAGGCGAAAGGCAGTATAGGGCCATTTTTACAGGTGACGTACGTGCTGACATCATTTTAGAATCGGAATTTATGGTGTTGGTTGTAAGTTATTTTTTAATTTTCTTCTTGTTTGTTAATGAAATATTTTGTATATTTTATAAAGACGAAAGCCCTCACAATTCTGCTAGCCTTTAAACACATTTATCGAATTTGAATTATGCATGTTTCGGTAGGTCTGGTTTACCACTAGTGGCCGTACTTAGGCCGGTCAAAATGTTAGTATGCCATAAATTGTTGTCGAGGAGCTGAGTGGTGGTCGTCGTCGCGGAGGCACCCAGCCCGCCTGACAAAAGAATGCAAAGATGATGAGATTAATTGCCAACCCTAATAAACAGTTAAATGGATGTTTATTCACATGCTTATTGGTTGGTATATCTTTTTTAAGAAAACATAATTTTCTTGTGTTTTGCGACTTGCAACAAAGTTTAACTTTGTGAAGGTTAAATTCTAATGTTATTTGCAACCACTCTGTAATTCCCATGTGGAAACACAGATGACGATGAACAGTGCTGTACTTTGATATGATCAAAGAGGGCGGCAGACAGTAAGCTATCATACTCAGCATTCAGATTTTATTCGAATGCTATGCTGAGTCTGGGAATGGACAGTCCTTTTAAAAAAAGGTCAAGGGAAAATAAAAGTACTTTAATTTTATCGTTTATGGTAACAGATTGTATATGAATTATGACATGTTTTGTTTGTGATGTTGTAAATCAAAAAATCAATAAAATGATGATCATTTTTTGTTTATGATTAATAAACAGGTATGGAGAGCTTTCACACCACCACACTGGCCAAGGCATTTATACAGATTGGACATCTACTGTTCTTTTCATGATTATCATCGTCATTATTATTAAATTTCTTTGTTTTTTCCCCTTATAGTATAAGCCCAGTCCAGACTATTAAATTTTATTTGATGATAAACATGTGACCTAAATTTGGTCAGGATGACATCACCTCATGACCATATATGAGTTCATCATGACTATATATGGTCATATATCAGTTTTTATAAAAAAATTTGATAGTCTGGACAGAGCTTTAGATTTCCTGTTATTTACTGTAGTTATTGTATTTTATATTATATTTAATAATATTGATTATATTATATATTATAATAATATACAAATTCTGTTTTAACATTGTATTTTATAATTTTAATATTTTTACTTCTTGATTATTGGAAGTTTTATTAATTAAAAATTTGAATGAAACTTGGCAATAATCAATTTTGTGTTTAGACTTTCTTTGAAGACTTCTAATAAATGGATAGACTTCTCTACAAAAATGCACCATTGCCATAAATGTAGGTTTTATTTGCTCCCTGATACCCTCTTAAAGCTGTATAGCGCCCTCTATTATCAGAATCTCAAACAAGTGATTCCATTCTATACATAGGTAGGCCCTGGTGTTTATTATTGTTTATTAATGGTACAGTTATTTTCACTTGTATTAAATTTCAGCTACAGATATCTTTTATAAGTCCATAAATATTTTACTTATTGATATATTACAATTCACTGAACTATATAAATTGTTTATATTATTGCTTTAATGTTTGTTCCCATCATAGTAGTGAATTACAGTAACCTTTAGCATTATTTTATTGGATAATCATTTATTTAAAAAAAAAACAGATTTGTTATAAAGTTCCATAACAGTCAAAGGTAATGTGACTACTCTGCAATTTTTATTTTACAGCTGCTTGGCATTTTCATACTTAAAGCTATTCCATATGAAGAGGAAACTGATAGATTGAAAATCCTGATAATTTGTATAGCGCCCTCTGTTGCCAGAAATACATTCCCAGAAGGATATTCCATTATTATATATGGGTAATTTTATACATTGAACATTTATTAATAATAGAATATTGTTTATTTTTATTAAACCCTTCAATAACAGATACATACATTTTCGATTTTATTCTACTTTGGTGATGAATATTTGCAAATTCTTAATTATCTTGAATTTATTAAGGCTCAAATAAATTAAATAGGTGTTCATACTTTAATGCGCTCACCACAATAGTAAATGATATTAGCATAATTCTCGGTGTATATTTGAAGCCTATTATATATTAAATTTATGATAAAATTAAAAATATTTTTGTTTCGATGTTTAACGATTTTATTTCTTAATTATTTATTTAGTAGTAGTATACTGAAAGGCACTTGGTTTTTTTTGGGTTATTACAGACAAATATTGCCCTTATATTCAACACTACGCCATGGTAGAATTTGGAAATGTTTGCGGCTATATAAAAATAATATTTCCGTCTTTAATTGTACTTGCTTCGGCAGTACATATACTAAAATTGGAACGATACAGAGAAGATTAGCATGGCCCCTGCGCAAGGATGACACGCAAAATCGTGAAGCGTTCCATATTTTTTTCCCCACGCCCCTGCGAAAAATTTTGAAAAAAACTATTTTTTATGATTTTTTTAGTGGAAATTGACTGTCTTTAGATTAACATTTCAAATTGCAATATTTTTCAAATGCACGTACTCAGTGGTACGCACAAAATTGTAGCGCTATCCATATATTTGACAATTTTACCACACTCTATTTTAAAAATAATCTTTTTGATTTTTTGGTCAAATAAGACTAAAAGTAGAATTTTTACCTTTAATTGAGTATCGATATATATTATTTGGAGAGAAAACAGTTAGGTTATGTCAGAAAATTAACATTATTGTAATGTTATTATGATTTGTAAATTGTTTGTTGGGTTAAACACCAACCCTCAACCAATCACTATCCACTAATCAGTGATCATCTATTAGTCATCCATCAATCCGTTATCTGTTCTGTTAAATACAATAAATTCTCATCCATCAGAATCACCATTCATCAATCACTGTAAATTCATCACTGTCAGTCTCAATCAATCAATGTCAATCATCACCATCAATCATCATCCATCCATCATCATCTATCAATCCATCATCTGTTACCATCCATCCATGAGCATCACCATCTATCAATCACTGTCTATCACTGTCAATCAATTCCTGTCAGTCATCACCGTCAATCATCATCCATCGATCAATCATCAGGCCTCGAATTTGAGGATTTTATGGGCAAGGCCAAATGGCCTCCGGTATGACATGATTTTGAAAGGCACCAAGGCCAAATGGAAAGGCATGCAAGGCCAAAATTTCAAATATAAAAGGGCACCAAGGCAAAATTTGATTTAGCCTCAGTACTAATCTCTTGCGAGTGCCTTGATTCGATGCCAGGCTAGGCCTAGGCAAGCTATGCCTAGGCCAAGCCATCGTTGTCAATGGTAAAATGACTGTGTTTAGTGTTATTGATTCAATTTTGGAATATACTTTTAATTTTTTGCAGTGGTCAGCGATTGTAGACAAAACAAAGTTCAAGAAGTTCAATATCTGATGTTGTTGCTCAGTGCGTCGTCATCGGAGAGGAGGCCACACCTCTAAACTGGCCGTCATCCACCAACTAGATTAGTCGAAGTGTCAACCAATTAGGTTAATTTCACACACTTGAGCTGCGATGACGTCAGATCGCCCAAAGCTAGCTGCACAGCATGCAAGCACATGTTTACTACTACAGTACATGTTTGCTCAATTACCGCTCGAGTCAGATGCATGCGCACACAACGGTAACCGCAAAAACAGTTTGTATCAACACACATGAAAATTCTCTTGTTCTGTCACTGCAACCTTATCTAGGCCTAGGCGACCTACGTTTTTGGCTTTTGTGTTTTCTTTCAAGATTTGAACGTTATTGTTTAGATTTATTTTACGTGTCAAATGATCTATATTAAGCGTCATAAGGGCACCGAGGCCAAGGCTGCAAAAGGGCAGGCAAGTAGTGGCTGTTGTTGTGCTTCATTTTCAGGGCCACCAAGGCCAACTGGGAGGGCACCGTCGGCAACTACGAAAAAATACCTAACTAAAGAGATGGATTAACATAGAAATTGCAATGGAAACTTCCATGCTTTACAAGACCTAACACACTATTTGCTTTAGAGATAATTATATAATCAAAAAGTACGGGTGTTTGTGATCTGGTAAAAGAAATAATATTTCATTTAGAAGTAATAAAGTTTAAATCCCATTTCTTAGACCAGGCACTCAAAATATCAACATCTGTCGGAAGTTAGTGACAGTTTTGTATATTATGAATTTCTCTGTAACATTTGGCCCCATCATCATAAAGAGCAATACATATTAGTGTTACAGCTTAGATTATCAGGCATTAATATTGAGGATATCAGTCATTGAAAATTGAGGGGTTTCTTATGGGAACTTGGAAAATTCAAGTGGTGCTTTTTGAATGAAAAAAGATTATATAAGGACAACCGAAGATTACAAATGGTTCTGGTGCAGAAAAGATAATCGTCCAGAAAGCATGGCTCATGACTAGAATGTTGTGAGTTTCAACAATAGATGAAATTAGTGGTGGTGGTTCAAACTTGTTTGGCCATCTGCCGATTGAGATTAGCAGGATTCATTGCAGAGCTTTTTGTAAACTTGGATGAGAACGTGCTAAAGGTGCAAAATGTCGGGAAAAGAAAAAGAGAAGTAGGACTAGACAAATATAAGAAAAGGAATGTTGGAAAGATACTGTCCAGGGAGTTCTCATCAGTCTTGGAGAAAATATCCTGATTTTGAAATTGACATAAGAAAATGTGAATCCACCGAAGATCAAATCATGCTAAACACACACAGTACCAGAATTGATTAAAAAGCCACAAGATATTGTTTTAAAAAATGAATGAAACGGGGAGCTTAAGAAAATGTTCACGATGGGGGGGGGGGGGGGGGGGGCTCTTATTCAAACGGGATGCTTATTCAGGCGAATGCAGTACAGTACAGTATATTATAAATTCTGAATTTGAACGGGCAAATTAAAGCTACGTTCACATCAAGCCCAGATCCGGTCCGGAGGCTGGACAAAAAATCGTGAGTTGCTACGTTTTTTTAACCCTGCGTTTACCTTGCGCACGGAACACGGTTGTTCGGGTTAAGTATGCATGCGTTCGATTGGTTCGAAACAACCAAGCTTGTTGCTGATTGGTCCAAGAAAAAAAAACCGTACGATTTCAGGATACAAATGGCTCTCAGACCCATCAGTCTGGATCCGGAGTCTGGATCCGGAGTCTGGATTGGAAATCGTATGATGTGAACGGTCCTATTATTTACCACTGAACTCATTTTTCACGATTTTTTCTTCGGACTCCGGACCGGAATCCGGGCTTGATGTGAACGTAGCTTAAAGGCTTTGGCAACAGCAGCTGGAAACTTCTGTAAAGGGATCATCTGAGAAATAGCATTTTGCAATGAAACTCTAGCTCCTTACAAAGAAATAGTGGAACGTGATTGGTTACAGAATTGGAATAGTAACGGAACAGATAGGACATCGTGTGGCCAACAGGGACCAGCTTAGAAAATGGCTTCACAAACGACCTCTCTAATCATGTTGTACAAGCTATGATATTTGCTTCATATTTTTGCGCGAGACGAGACATGGTATGTGTCTTGTGAGAATCGTGGCAAGAGATTGTCTCTTCATTTCCAGAAAATTGGACCCTAAATTTATCCTGCCAAAAAAATTCAAATTTCCACGCTTGGATTTGGAGGATAAGTTTGTCGCCCTTCTTTGGGAGATTCTCAACTCTGAAAAATTCTTCACCCCTGGGAGAAATTATCCATACCTTGATGTGGCAACAACCATTCTTGTCGTGTGTACTTTCTGTTGTGCAGTGTGACCACTGCGAAAAATAAAAATTCCCAAGATTCAGTCTAAAAAATCCCAAGATTGCTTTAAAAATCCTAAGATTTTCAGAATATTAGTATATATACATAAAACTTTTAAATACCCAATTTTAAAGCTTTTCCAATGAATTGCATTATACTATACTGTATACTGTACTGTATAACAAACAGTGTCTGAATTTTCGAGACCACCAGTTCGTTTTGATTCAACTGTGTATAATTTTGTTGAAGTTGGGGAGGGGGGTGGTGGTGGTGGTAGGGAATGTCTTATCTGAATTACCTGCATCTGTATGACAGGGCAATTGCCTTTATTTTATTTTATTTTTTTTTTACACAAAATATACTAGTAGCATAACTCATACTTTATTCGAAAAAAAAAGGAGATCATTTTCATAACTTATTTTTTCGGGAGGTTTAATGTGGTAGGCATAAAAGTAAAGTATTTTTGATGAATGTTATTGAACTTTTAATTGTCAAATTAAAACACAAAAGCTTTTGCAAAATATGAAATTGTGTTGGATCTCCTCGCATAGGTGCAATATTTTTTTTTTTTAAATTTCCAAGCTTTTATTTCCAAAAATTAGATTATAATTGCATATAAACCATACAATTATATACATGTTATATACACACAATAGTGGTAATAATATAAATATCAGATAATAAACATGGAAAAAGAAAAAAAAAAATGAAAAAAAAAAAAATAATGCATATTAATTAATAATACCAATAATGATGATTCTTGCTCAACTACCCTACACTGAAGCAAGCAGCAAATCGCCAAATGTGACACATATCAAGATATTTAGCTTAAAAATGCACCTCATTATTTTGGGAAAATGACTATTAGACAACTTGCAGGTCTTTTTGAACAAATAACAACCATCATTCACAACTGTCAACTACTGGTGTTATAAAGGTCATACACTTATTGATAAAAAAAAAATTCCATATACTGTAATTCCAAAAATCCCAAGGTGTCATTAAAAATCCCAAGCAGTGGTCACAGTGCTGTTTTGTGTTGTCAGTCAATCAACAACCTTACCGTACTCGCGCGAATAAGCGCCCCTCTCGCGATCGAATAAGCGCCGTGAAACGTGAAAAATTTCTTAAGCGCCCCGTTTGAATAATAATATTTTCTTTTTAGCATGTCAATAATCCAATCAATCCTGGGACTGTGGTTGGCATGATTTGAGCTGCAGAATGGAAACACATTCGTCTTGGGTCAATATCAAAATGAGAATATTTCTCTTGGACAGATGAGAGCTCCGATCCCTGGACAGACAGTATACATATTTTAATTCCAACTTTACTCTTTTTACATTGTCTATGCCTAGTCCTACTGCTCTTTTTCTTTTCCCGACCTTTAGCACAGTCTCATCTGATTTTTCAAGAAAAAATATAATGATCCTGCCATCCTGCTAATCTCATTCAACAAGCTAACCACTACCCACCACCACTAGGCCTAATTGCATCTGCTATTTTGCTGTTATGTAAATATTCACGCATTCTTGTCATGAGCAACGGCTTTTCCGCCTAACCACCATTCGTAATGTCCTTATATAATCTTTTTTTCATTCAAAAAGTGCCTCTTGAATTTAATAATTTCTCACAAGAACCCCTTGATTTTCATCTATTTCCATAAGCGCCCCCTCAATTTCCACTCTGTTTTCATAAGCGCCCCGTGCGAGTACGGTACAGTTCTATTTTTATACCTCCATGGTAAAATGAACTAATAAAGCAGCATCATGCAGTGAAAGGAACAAACAGATGTCGGCCCCTGTTGTCGCATCGCATAGTTTATTTATGAGCTCCTGCAGCTTGAATTGCCGTAGTTGCAGAACGCTGCACACGTGAAGAAGCATGGAGGTTTGAATTAGAGGAGGTTAGGTTTGTTGTTTCAATAACAGCTATGATTGTACAGAGATTCATAGCTTAGCCTGAAATCACTCTAGGCTAGGCCTGGGCAGGCTTTAGCCTAGGTAGGCATTCAGGCTAATCAAGCGTCGGTTTCTCTGACATCTGTGTCGGACAGACAGAATACTTTCGGCAGATTATGACCTCTCTTTAAGAAACTACTATATTTCCAGGGGTTCTACCGTACTTCTTTAGTTGCTCATCGTCATTGGTCACTACTTCTTTATACATGGCACTGATTTTTTAAGCTGTTTTTGTAATTTTGGAGCATAGTACAGTACCAATCAAGACATGTAGGCCTAGGCTTTAATGTATACTTTTTTTTCAGCAATAAGTTTTTAGTTTAATATGACACTAGTAAATTTTCCCAGCCAGGCTAAATATAGGGGTTTCTGGACAAAACGGCATTAAATCAAAACAGCAATAAGTCAAAACGGCAATGACCAAAACTGCAAAAAACTGAAACAGCAACATTTTTTGACCAGAACGTAGGCGAAATAGCAGCAGCAATAAGATTAATAACAATAATAATAATAATAATATCAATAATAATAATAATAATAATAATACAAATTCAATATTAAAAAGATTGGGGGAAACAATATAATAGCAGTAAAACATTTGAACAAATAAAACTTTCAAATACTGTACAGACAAAACAATTGTCATAAAAGTTTAAAAAAAAAATGGGAAGTAATAATCATAATAATAAACATTAAGTGCCCATGGAAATATTCGATTTGCCTATCGGGACAATTTCAAAATGATTCAGAAAATTATAAACTGCAGCTCGCATCGGGTGGTGTTTGCTAGTTTTGGGATTGATTTCGCTCCTTTGCCATTTTGGTCTGCCATTTCGGTACTAGTCATTGCTGTTTTAGTTTGTTGTTGTGTTTGTTAATAACCATCTGTAACTGTCTATGCTATCCATTATAATGAAAGTAATACTGGTACGCACTCTTTGAATAAGTTAATCAATTTATATTCATTTTTTATACTTATACGACATATGGACATTTGAATATTTATGATTTACTTTTATAGGAGGAAATGTATTTTTTCTTTTAAAGAAGAGGGGATGTTGTGTTTGTTAATAACCACCTGTAACAGTCTATGCTAATTAAGGCCATTGTATAATGAGTGAGCGTTTCAGTTCCACATAGTGACGTGATGAATAAACAATGCTATGACTAATTGTTATTTGTTGTATACGTGAGAGAATAATAGCCGTTTTGGTCATTGCCGTTTTGGTCATTGCCGTTTTGGTTTATTGCCGTTTTGACCTGCTACCAACATAGGCCTACTATGTTTACTATTCGTTTGATTTGAACTTGTTTTAATTTGTTTATCATTGATTGTTCTGGATGCATCTTCCATTAAGAAGTGTGCCACTGATAAAATTGTTGAACCAAATTATTATATAGGCCTAGTACTGAAGTACTAGATCCTACTATGATATTTTTCAATAAATTTCCTTCTGTGTTGTAAAACCTCATCACCAAATTTTTCAGAAGTTGCTAAAAAGAGCCTAGATACACACAGCTTCAATTTGTTTATTCCTGATAAAGATCTGATGATAGGCTGTATGACAACCGACTGTGTTGCCACTAAAACCATGTTTTAAACTATGGATTGGTACAGTGGTGGAGGGGGGGGGGAGGGAATGCCAGTGTTGACTTCTCCCCCCACCCCCGGACCAACTAGGTAGTTGGATCAAAAATTTAAAAGATAGTGATTTGCTTATACTTAAATACATTAATTTGGCAGCCAATCCCCTAATATTGTGAACTAAAAGCAAATTTTGGACCATAATGAGCCATAAAAACTCTCACTGTGAACCTACAAGGACCCTCCCCACCGGACATGTCGGACCCCTTGTTGGCAAATTTTTGGCGCAACCGCTGCATTTTCAGGGTCACCAAACTTTTGCATTGTGTCCCGAGCAAGTTTACAAACAATTGTGAATTTGTGTGCTAAATTACATGGTGGAGGTCTTTAACAGATCAATTTTATGTGAACCCTCATTTAATAGATTAATATTTTATGCTCCCAATTGACAAACAATGAATCTTTATATTTCCACAACATAATTGTGTAAATC